GGTGGATTCAAAACACAAAGGATGAAACTTCAATTGAAATCCACGGGAGTGAATTTGAGTTGAGGCAGTCACGGAGAAATGAAAAGTAGCTGGGGAAGCAAGTTTAAGAAAAACCTTGTCAAACACTGGGAGCAAAAATTAATGTAATGATGGAGAACCAAAATTAAGATTGAAACAGAAATCCTGTCAGGGAAGAACAGACCATTTTCAAGGGCAGCGTACCTGAAAGAGATGTGGCAGTGAATTAAACACTGAAAACGACAGTGGATGCTGGAGACCTGAAATAAGCAAAAACAAACTTCAGGAGAAACTGAGCAGGTCTGGCAGCATTTACGGAGCGAAAAGAGAGTTAATGTTCTGGCAAAGGTCAGTGGACTTGAAACATTGCCTCTTTCGTTACATGGATATTGCCAGACCCTGCTGAGTTTCTCCAGCAAGTTGTGTTTTTTTTGTCTCAGTTCTCCAGCAACTCCAGTTGTTTTAGTTTTGACTTCTCTGTCCTTGTGTTCCAAATTTCAGGTAGATGCTCGTGTTGTATTTTACCTGGAACAGCTCAGCTAGGGGCCTGTATAGAGGAGAGCACAAGTCTGATCAGTTGACGAATGGATTTGCTGATCTGTCTTTCCCGTTCCTTAACATGCACGTACTCTACAACTTCACCCCCCGCTGCCCTCAACCACATCTCTTGCATTTTCTGCACTTCTGCCCTCAATCCCCCTTCTCTTCCCCCCCGCCAACAAAAACAGAATGCCCCTTGTCCTCACACATCACCCCACCAACCTTCGTATCCAGCGTATCATTCTCTGCCACTTCTGTACCTACAATCCAACCCCACCACCGAAGAGATATTTCTCTCCCAACCCGTATCTGCCTTTCGTAGGGACCACTCACTCCGCAACTCCATCGTCCGCTCCACACTTCCCACTAACTCCACCACTCTCGGTGCTTTTCCCTGCAATCCCCGGAAATGCTACACCTGCCCCTGCGCACCCCTCCCCCCACCTCCATTCAAAGCCCAAAACAAGCCTTTTGTATCAGACAGGGGTTCAACTGTACATCCGTCAACTTCGTCTACTGTATCAGCTGCTCCTGATGTGACCTCTTCTGCATCGGTGAGACTAAGTGTAGACTCTGGGACCATTTTGTAGAGCATCTGCACTCTGTACAACAACACCTTCTGGTCACCAACCATTTTAACTCCCCATTCCATTCCCTGGGTGATCTGTCCATCCTGGGCCTTCTCCAGTGTCACAATGATACCACCAGCAAACTGGCGGAGCACCACCTCATATTCTGCCTTCGGAACCTGCAGCCTGAGGGCCTAAACATGGAATTCACCGGTGTTAAAATCCCACCCCCGGCCTCGTAACCCTAACCCTCCCTTCCTCTCATCGCTGCCTCCTTGACCTGACAACCTGTCCGTCTTCTCTCCTGCTTATCTGCCCCACCCCTCCCTACCTACACTTACCTATCACCCCTCCTCTCTATTTATTTCCCAGCTCCCTTCTGCCGCCGCCCCCCACCCCCCCATTTCTGAAGAAGGGTCCTGACCCAAAGTGTCAACTTTTCCATTTTTCTGATGCTGCTTGGCCTGCTATGTTCCTCCAGCTCCACACTGTATGGTCTCTGACTCCAGCATCTGCAGTTCTTGCTATCTCTGTACTCCTATGTTGTAGCTTCAGTGTGTTGTTACCTTACTTCTAAGGATACTGTGTGCTATTCCTGTTGCACTAGTTATTCAACCAAAATTGGCCTGCTGGCTTGACATAAGTGAGGGAAGAATATGCCAAGCCATGAGATTATTCACTGTTTTAGAATATAATGATGTTACCCACAGCATTTCGAGGATGCCCTTTATTGAGGTACTCCACTATCCCACTTAGCTGAGTCAACCACAAACTAGTACTACACATACAAAAGAGAGGCATTCTTGGTGTGATGAGTCTTCATCTCCAAGGGACTGTATAGAGTTCATTGTCCTACCCATACTGTTATGCATCAATGCATCAATACCATGTAGCTTTTTAAAGACAAGGTAAATTACATTTTCCATTATTTTGGTGCTGCAGTCCATTGATCTGTGCGAGCAGATCTGTTCTTTAGGACTCTGCCTGTTTCAGCGAAGAGTACACAAGAGGATACCGTAGGTGCTATCATGCACATTAAATGACGACATATATTTAATAAGGTGTTAACTAAGTGAAACTATAACACAGGACTACTTGTATGCCAACAGCAGAAGCAGCAAAAGTTATAAACAGTGGTGGGTAAGTAAACAACTCACAGAAGGGGGTGAGTTCACAAATATCCTGCTCCTCGATGAGGGTGGAGAGTCCACCACAGAAAACCAAGCAGAAGCATTTGCAGCAATCTTTGGCGAGAAGTGCCAAATGGATGATCCACCTATTCTGAAGAATAGTAATCCCGGACTCAAAGTACTAACTCTGTTTCACTCTGCACAGATACTGCTGGATCTTCTGTACTTCCTGCATTTAATTCAGATTTCTAGCATCCAAATGATTTTGCTTTTATTTGGGTGATCTATCCTAGCCTCCTCTCAAGGTCCCCAGCATCACAGGGGCCAATTTCCACAAGTTTATGAACAATATGGAAAATTGCCTGGCTATGGCCTGTACACATAAAGCAGGGCAAATCCAACACAACCAGTTACAACCCCATCAGTCTATTCCCAATTATCAGTAAAGTGAAGAAAGGGGTCAGCAACAGACTCCATTGTGTAACAATAATCTGCTCACTGATGTTCAGTTTGCATTCTGCTAGGCTACTGGGTTCCTGATACTGCTGCATCAGTGACCTTGCCTCCAGCATAAAGACCAGAAGTAGGAAGGTTTTGTGATGATTACACACTATATAGCATTATTCCTAACTCCTCAGATTCTGAATTATCCTGTGTTCATCAGCCACTCGACTTGGGCAAAGTGTAGGTTTGGGTTGCTAAGTGTCAAATAATGCTCATGCCATATGCTGCCAGGCAGCTGCCATCTCAAAAAAAGAGAATCTAATCATCACTCTGAAAATCATTGTTAAATACCCCATGATCCACTTTCTGGGATTTCCATTCACCAGAAACTGGATTGGACTATCTATATAAAAGCTGGGCCTACAAAAGCCGTTTGGAGGCTAGCAATTCTGCAGCAAGTAACTCATCATCTATTTCTCCAATTCAGATCCGCCATTTACAAGAGTTGAATGAGGACTGTGATGGAATACTATTCATTTGTGTTGACTGGTGCAGCTGCAACAAGCACAACAGCATGTAGATAAAGCTTGGTTAGTATGTCATCCACCATTTTAAGATACAGTCACTTCACAATTAATGCACAGTGACAGCAGTGTGTATCATGTACAAGATGCACAGTAGCAACTTACAAACCTTCCTTTAACAGCACCTTCCAAACCTGCGACCTCCACCACTTAGAGGGACAAGAACAGCAGATACATTGGAATACCACTATCTGCAAGTTCCTCCTCAAGCAACACCGCTGTGAATTGGAACTTCATCACAACTCCTTCACTGTCGCTGGTTCAAAGTCCTGGAAATCCCTTCTTAATACTATTGTGGATGCATCTGCTGAAGTGGTTCAAGAAGGTGCCTCAGTACCATCTTCTCACGACTAATAAGGATGAGTAATGAATGTTACACCAACGAATCATGCTCACATCCCATGAACAAATAATAAAGGTATTATGCTGTACTGGATTAGCAATCCTGTGACAATTACCACCGAGCCATCATCTTCCTTCAATTAAGTGGGTCGTTTTCCATTATGGAAAGTAGGTTTTTGAAAATATGATGACTCGGTGGGGTATGGGCACATGCAGAGATACAACTCTTGTGCCAGCTCTTTTTGTAACCTTAATTCATCAATCTCTTGGTTGCGCCTCCATCACTGAATTGAAAACAGTGCCATAGCTTGTCCAGTATTCGGAGGTTAAGGAAAATTGAATTAAAACCAGGAAAAGATGGAATTGTACATTTCAGTCAATAAATATTAAGAAACCAATCTATTTCTTCATACCTTAACAGTAATAAATTGAAGTCACCATAAACCTATCAGAGCATAGGGCTGCTCTTTCATTAGAGAGAGGTGACTGCTGGTGGTTTAACCTGAGGATCACCATGGCTCAGGTTAGGGAAGAGGTTGAGGAGTCCTTCATAATAACCTCAGTGGGTGTGGGAATTGAATCCATACTGTTGGCGTCACTGCATCTCAAATCAGCAATCCAGCTAACTGGGCTAATTGACCTCCTAATAATACATTCATAGAACAGGAAAGAATCAAGAAAAATAAAAAACAAAATTAGAACATTAATTTTGGATAAGACCAGCTAATTGAAAGATGTATCACATAACTGAAAATCTTTAAACAAGCCAGATAATGGATTTATTTATTTATATAATGTGATGTTTGCTTTAACTGAACCACTGCCAAGAGGTGCATTCAGTTGCTCCAAGTGTACCTCACCAACCAATGATAAACAATTGACCTTAAGTACCCCATCTGTTCCTGCTTAATGTACAGAAATTATTAAGGAATTTATTCTTCCTCCTTGTTTATGGGTGTTGCTGACAAAGCTAATGTTTGTTGGTCATCCCTTACTGTCCTTGAGAAGGTAGTGGTACACATGCATTATGCAGATGGAGCTTTACAACAATCAATTAATCAGATTGTTCCCTGACTCTGATATTTGCTTTTAATGCTAGTGTTAGGAATTAATTGAAATTGAATTTCACCGCCATGGGATTTGAACTTCAGTCCTCAGACCATGAGTGTGGGCCTCAGGATTACTTCATATTACCATATGGCCTCAAGGAGGTTATTATCCATAACGGAAATATGTTGAAACCTTAATTTAGGGGAGCACCAGTCAACTACAAGCTATAGGCGTTTAACAATCAATTCAACTCAATCCAATAATGTTGCCCGTTTATGGCGGAGCCTTTAAGTACCAGAGTGGAGGGCGGGATGAAGGAAATGACGATCTGTTTTAAAATCCGATTCATCTTTACATGCCATCTGTGATTTAGAACAGTAGCGTTATCCGTCGACGGAGCTACTTAAGCGCAGTGCCCAGACGAAATTGACTCAGTTCAGGGCTCTGGTATTTGAAGAGGGAGAGAGAAAATGGACGTGGCGCTGGATGTTTATGTCGCTGTTCCGCTCCTCTTCACCGTGCTGGCTGTTATCATCGCTTCGTTATATCTGAAATTCAGACCTTCCGATGCCAGTGTTGAAGAACAGGATGCGAGTTCTAAAGTTGATGGGAGTAAAGCCGATGAGGAAGCAAGGAGGAAAGATACGGAGGAGGCGAAGAAGCCCGAAGATGTGAGCCAAGAGCAGGAGGGGAAGAGAGATGAGGAGCCAGAGAAAGCCAAAGGCAAGCTGCCGGTGGAAGAGATCGGAGCCGGAGAGGGAAATCTCCAGAACCAAGAGTCAACTAAAAACTCTGAGAAGGAACCCGCAGCTGCTGAGAAGAGCCCCCAGACTAACGAAGCGAAACAAGAGCCCAGTAAGCCTGAAGAGAAGCTTAAAAAGGTAAAATGGAAGGCTGAGGGGCGGAATCTGGCAAAGTATTGACTTTTCTTTTGTGTGGTCTTTGGGCTGCAGGGCTTTTTATATTGTTTTTCGAGTTGCATACGAAATATTGACTTTCCTGCTGTGTAACTCTGCAGTTAGTGCTCAAGATGACGTGGAAGAGACAGAATAGTGGGGTGGGGGTGGAGAGACAAATTCTGGAGCCGACTGGATTTGAATATCCAGCAGTTTAACGGAGTTAGTGTCATTTATGGCCTGTTTTCTTTTCTTGGCGGGGAGGTGGGAGGTAGGAGGCAGTGCAGGCGGGTCCTTCCCTGGGGTTACGCCACTACTGCATTAGAGAAACGTCTGGTCTGAGCCAATACGCGATCGATAGCGCTTCAGTGCCGCACTAACATCTTCAGAGATTCATTGTTCTCCTCTTGAAGATGGCCAGCACTCAATCGGCGAGTGCTGTGTCTCGATCACTTTCCCGGAGAAGAGTCAGACTGAACTCGAAATGTTACCTACTCCCATCTCCTCAGATGCTGCCAGATCTGCGGAGAGTTTCTGGCATTTTGTTTCAAGTTTTCAGTATCTGCAGTATTTTGCTTTTACTCGTTTTGATCATTGCTAATCGATTCCGCTTCATTTTTTTTATCTCTAGCATAACTAGAACTGAAATGTTTTGATTTTTTTAACTGCAGACAAGTAGTTTTGTTTGCGGAGGTGGGTAAACCAAACACTTTAAGCTGTTGTGAATTTCAGGTGCCCGTGCCGACGCGTTACATCAGACGGAGACAATAGTGTGAGCTCGCAGTCTGCCGCTCCCTGTGCCAGTCCTGGGTATGACATGTGGCTGGAACTGGACCAAGTGTCCACATGTGACCCTAGGCATAATCCCTGGGCACGGAGCCAGTCCGCTTCGTGCTCCCTTCCCTGTAGCTTGGGGCACTGGTCCTGATCGTTTCTGTTTGGTTTCTTCTCTCAGTTCATATTACCACGAAGCCCGCAGAACCGCCCACTTGGTTGTATAATGTTGCTGCGTAATTGCTGTACAGCTCAAATTCTTGTCTGACCTGACGACCAAATTAGAGCTTCTGCCTCGTTTTTTAAAATAATTGTTCAATTAGAAAGCTAGCATTTTACAACAACTTCTGAAGAAATTCTTCTTTTGGAAGAAGATTCCAGATATGGCAGCTATTGCTCAGCTCGAATACAGCTGTGCTTCAAGTTTTGACTGTGTTCATAACAGTGGGCACCTGGTCCAAGTACCTCCTTTGTTGTGCAGTACAAGAAGTTTTAATCACTGTTTGCATCTTTTTAAAACTAACTCTTTTTCATGAAAAGGTGGCATCCCACTCAGCACTTCTGGTCCTCCAGCTTAAATTGAATCAACTGAGTTGGGAATGGAAGTGATCTGTGAGTTAAGACTTTCTAAACAGTCTCTTTATTTTACTTTTTTTATGACCTGTGTATTTAATTGGGTCAGGAGATAAATCAGTATGAGGGAACCTTGTGGAATGAAGGCAAGTGCAGGTTAATGTTTATAAATTGAACTCCACTTGTATCAAAAACATTATGAATGATGATGCCTAAGGCTCAACACCCCCCCCCCCCCCCCCAAAATCTTGGATGTCTGGTATCAAAGTTGGTAGTTAAACTTTCCCTTATCCAGTGGTACAGAGAATCTAATATGATCTCCTTGACCTTGTATGATATTACTCTTGTTGAATCCCACTATCAATACCTGGGAATGTACTGTGGACTAGACATAGGAATACTGTGGTTATAACCACAGTCAGTTATGAAATCTGTGACAATTGTGCCTCTTTCCCCCAGCTGTTGCCAAGGCATAAGTCAGTGAGATGTAATTCTCAGCACTTAGCTGGATGAGTGCAACTTGAGGATTGAAGGCTTGTTTGATTAGCTTCCCATCCAAAATGTTTAACATTCATAGTTGCACTGCACGTGGGCAGCAGCAGTGTACCATCAAGATGTGCTGGAGATCCAAGGATCCTTCAACAGTATGTTCCAACACTTTTTCCAACTAGAAGGAAAAGGATTCAGATAAGTAGGAACACCATTTGCAAGTTTCCCTCAATGTCTCCATCCTGACTTCACGCTATATTGCTGTTGTCTCACTGGTCAATATCTTGGAACTCCAACTTGGCACTGCATGCCCCTACACCCAGGATTGAAGACGACAAGTCACCAACACCACCTCGAATGATTAAGGATGACTCGAGTATTGGACTAATGAGTGGTTAATGGTATATGAACATCAGTGAGTCTGATGGAAAGTCAAGCAGTTGATGTTCAGGTCCATCATAATTTTTTTTTTTAAAACTATCGAATGATACACTGTCCAACTTGTGGTACAAAACACTTTGAATTTGCATAATTGAATAATAAACATTCTAACCACTTTGCACAGTCTTGGATGCTGAAAATTTAGAAAAATGTTTGTTAGGTGTTTTGATTGAAATAGAGTAGTTTTAGAAAACAGCTATTGAGTACAGTATTGTTGATGGAAGCATAATGACTGAACTAGAAATAAGCCCCAAATGATTTCACTACACACTTGCTAGGTATTCCCTATCCTGTCTGTCAACCTCTTGTTCTTGTGAACAATTTATATTTTAATTTGCTAAGGTCACAGCTAACTGTTCTTCAAGTTCTCTTATTCCAAAAATACCAAGTTGTTTACTAAGGCCTGAAATAATCCAGATGTCTCTTGACGACAACCTACTTCAGTTGAAATAAAAGCTCAGGTGAGCATGAGGTGCAACTTGTTTTAAAGTACAAACATTTGAACTTGATTCTTTGAAGTGGAGTCACTATTAAAATGTCTGAAATATGGCCAGCTTGTGTGCAGCAAGCTCCCACTTAACAGTATGAAGATTGGAGTATCTGGTTATGTTGGTCAAAATTAAATTGATCCAAGCACTAGCGTAACCATCTGCAGCAGAATAATTATAGGATATTTTACACTTGATCTGCAAACAGAAGGCCTCCGTTTACATGGCCTCATCATGAAGTGGTGTACTTGCAATAGTACTCTTCACTACTGCATTGGAGTGTCAAGCTTCATTTTTGTGCCGAAGTAAATCTCAAGATGCAAATAACTGTAGGACTCTACTGAATCTCAACCCTGACTCAGTGAAGATGTGACCCAATCGCTGTAATATGAGCCAAGAAAAACATCTTCAGTTAAATTTGAAAAGCTGTGGGACTTCTCTAACTTACTAGGTTCTATCGATTTGTACTCAATTGCAGCACTAATTTTCTAAGCAAAAAGGAAATTTGGCTCCAGTTTGACATGGCAACATTTTAATAGGGCATGCAATTTTGGGAAGGGAATTGATGATTTTGTATGGAGATGGCCATATATGGTTAAAACCTGAGGCCCAAGCTTGTCCAATTACCTCGGTAGTGGTTTTGGCCATTTGGTATTTTGCAAATGAAGAAAAGACAGTTGTTTGTCAGAATAGCCTGTTAGCTATATCTGATGTGCAGCTTTGAAAACTACTGGTGGTTTACTGTTTACATGAGTTCCTGGATGTTCTATATGTTCAACTATCCTGGGCAGTTCCCAGCAGCAACTTGCTTCACAGTACAAACCTGCCTTCGGTATTTTCACTGGGGAAACAATGCTTATTGGAGTGAGAATAAACTTAACTTGTGCACATTGTTGTAGTTTTGTTTCTGCAAAACAAATCAATTGACTGTTCAGATTATCAGTTTAAGTATCTTGCAGTATCTGAACTTGTGGTGTTGTATTAGCATTACCAAACTGGTCTCCAGTATTTAAAAGTAAACACTTGAATGTGGGGAGGTGTTGTTCAACAAACCTGGCAACTTGAAATTGCAGTTGACTTTTTTGTGGAAGGCCTTGAGGCAATATGTTCAATGAAGATCAAACGCCTTTTTTTTTCAGGATTAGTCTTCTTCTGAGAGAAGGCACCTTGACTTCCAACCAGTGTCTTATACCATGCCTTCCCCACCCCCTCTCTTTCTTAAAAGATGAGACAAGTGGAATACCACTCTCATTCTGGTCATCTTCATACTGAAGAACTAACTGTTCAGTTGGGGTGTTGAGGATGCAGGGTGGTGGGAGGGGTGCGTATGTTGGGTGTCCAGTGGCAATACAGGTGACTGCTAAGCCTATTCTGCTTCCAGATGTTCCTGATCCAAATTGAAAGCATTACCATTGACTTTGAGTTATTAGTTTGGGCACTTCTATCTCCACCTCTTTCTCACCTGCTTGTGAAGGAGTTTGCACACGAATTTTGCATCTACCAGATGCATTAACCTGGGCAAGCTTTTTCCTAGAGTGAATCCACATCAGCACTCGAGTGGTGCCTTCAGAATTTGTTGTGCTATCTTTTGACCACCATTGATGCACCCCAGGTTCTTCAAAGAGACATTTGAGCAAATTGCCAGAATTCAGGCTAAAATCCCAGCCCAACTTTTTTCAAAAAAGTCTGTGCTGTGGCTATGGCTTTGAGTGCCTGAATGGTGCTGACAGCTGATGTTCAAAACTTGCCACAAGCAATTAAGTAGTTGTCCTACTTGGACTGCTTATTTAGATTACATAAGCCTTGCATAGAAGTGGGTAGGTCAACAGTGCAAATGTTTGTCTAGACTAAGTCTGCTAAAGGTTGCATTTGGTGATTCTTGGATTTTTTTCAATAAATCAGTGTCCTGATTTTAAAGATTTTCTGCAGTGCTATGAGGGTCTGTAATTGAAATATTGAGCTCAAAATGGAACTTTCTCTAGAGCAGGCTGGCTGTTTATTTCCTGGTGCTAATTTAGAACCAGTCCATGTTGGACTGTACAAGCAATTCATAACTGGCAATACTGAAACAGGAAATTGTATGGCATCTTCTTGGAGACAATTCATCTTGGGAGTTGCTTCTGATTTGAGGGGTTTCCTGTTGATCCAATATTGCTACTTCCTAGAATGCTTTAGAGAATATAAACATTAGTTGTTAGTATGCAACATTTTCCTGACTAGGTCAGACTCCTCATTTTGGCATGTAAGCATTCCTTGATGCAA